GGATCGGAAGGTTGAGGATCGGAAGCAATATTTGGAAACTTTGATAATGGATATTTATCGATTTTTTAGGTTGATGATCGGAAGGTTGAGAATCGGAAGCAATATTTGGAAACTTTGATTATGGATATTTATCGATTTTTTAGGTTAAGGATCGGAAGGTTGAGGATCGGAAGCAATATTTGGAAACTTTGATTATGGATATTTATCGATTTTTTGATAATGGATATTTATCGATTTTTTAGGTTGAGGGTCGGAAGCAATATTTGGAAACTTTGATAAGGGATATTTATCGATTTTTTAGGTTAAGGATCGGAAGGTTGAGGATCGGAAGCAATATTTGGAAACTTTGATAATGGATATTTATCGATTTTTTGATAATGGATATTATCGCTTTTTTAGGTTGAGGATCGGAAGCAATATTTGGAAACTTTGATTATGGATATTTATCGATTTTTTGATAATGGATATTTATCGATTTTTTAGGTTGAGGATCGGAAGCAATATTTGGAAACTTTGATAATGGATATTTATCGATTTTTTAGGTTAAGGATCGGAAGGTTGAGGATCGGAAGCAATATTTGGAAACTTTGATAATGGATATTTATCGATTTTTTGATAATGGATATTTATCGCTTTTTTAGGTTGAGGATCGGAAGCAATATTTGGAAACTTTGATTATGGATATTTATCGATTTTTTAGGTTGAGGATCGGAAGCAATATTTGGAAACTTTGATAATGGATATTTATCGATTTTTTAGGTTAAGGATCGGAAGGTTGAGGATCGGAAGCAATATTTGGAAACTTTGATAATGGATATTTATCGATTTTTTAGGTTGAGGATCGTAAGGTTGAGAATCGGAAGCAATATTTGGAGACTTTAATAATGGATATTTATCGATTTTTTGATAACGGATATTTATCGATTTTTTAGGTTGAGGATCGGAAGGTTGAGAATCGGAAGCAATATTTGGAGACTTTAATAATGGATATTTATCGATTTTTTGATAACGGATATTTATCGAATTTCTTTTTTTGTCGGATTCGGGACATTATCGTGGAATTTTAAAGGGATACTCATCCAATTTTTATTGATTTTTGGGCGCGATACTGGCGAAAAAACTTATGGATTTTGGAAGGGATATTTTCGAATTATTATTTATTTTTGGGATGAAGATTAGAGGGAATATTCGTAAAATGGAGGCAATAGTAGTGACATTTTAGAAAGAGTTTGGTGGAATGATTTTTAATGTTTTTTTATTTTTTTTGAAATCTGATATCTTTTATTTTTGCGGATTTGGAAAAAGAAATATTCATGGTTACGTTATTGATTATTAGGTGGAAATTCGAAAATTTTTTTCATGAAGCAATTCAAAAGAGTTTTTCATTTTCAATCCTGGGATTTTCATTTTTTTTGAGAAACCGGATCCGTATTTTAAATCTCTTACACAGTGACAGCATCGAGTAGAGTGCATTCAAGTCGGACAAAAATCTACCAATATTAATTCCTACTATTTTATTGCTTCATTTTGATATTCCTTTCTGAACCCATAAAAATTTCAAATTAATCCAGTTTAACAAACAATTAAATGTAGTTTCAGATTTTTTTATTTGAAAAATTTTATGACAACAATTAAATGCCTGGTGATTTAGAGCAGCACGCAGGTAGGTAGGAAGCAAAACGTAGCAATTTACCTGTTTTAGAATTTTAATAAAAATTGTTGGAGAATCTTCCCGATATTTTGAATAAGTTTCGATGTTTTTATGACGACATAATTTGAATAGGGAAGCATAAAAAATGTGCGATAACAATATTTTTAATTTCGGCTAAAATTTTATTATTTAATTTAAAACCAGAGCCACAGAGCGCCATAATCCATAATAATAAAGGGGGAGGGGGGGAAGGGTTATGTTAAATTTTATTAACTTTTTTTATTTTTTATTTTACGACAAAAATTTATAGTTTCACACCTCTTTTTTTTTTTTCACCTTTTTTATTCCCTCCCATTTCATGGGAATTATGCTCACTTCGTTGTTTTTATTTGATTTCAAACAGGTCTTCGTTTGAAGTTCCTCGACCAAATGATTATTTATGAACACCAACCGAGTAAATCATTAAAAAAAACTTGTATCCCGACATATTGGTTCACACGGAAGCAAAGTGGTTTGGGTGGTGGGTGCAGTCAAATCTTGTCAAATTTCAAATGTCAAAGTTATTTGTTTTCAGTTTTGAAATTGAACAATTGAAAATTTAATTACAGTGATTTGGGGTTTTGGAGGGGGGAGTTAAGGGAAGGGAGTTCTTCTATTGCCCATAAAGGCTAGGAGGACTTCTATTGCCCTTAGAAGGCCAGGAGGTCTTCTATTGTCCATAGAAGGCCAGGAGGTCTTATATTTTATATAAAAGAGCAGGAGGTCTTCTATTACCTATGGAAAGCCAGGAGGTCTTTTATGGCTCATAGAAGTGCTGATGGTCTTCTATGGCTCATAGATGAGCTATAGGTCTTCTATGCCTCATAGAAGAGCTGTAGGTCTTCTATGCCTCATAGAAGAGCTGTAGGTCTTCTATGGCTCATAGAAGAGCTATAGGTCTTCTATGGCTCATAGAAGAGCTATAGGTCTTCTGTGGCCCATAGAAAAGCTATAGGTCTTCTATGGCTCATAGAAGAGCTGGAGGTCTTCTATGGCTCATAGAAGAGCTGGAGGTCCTCTATGGCTCATAGAAGAGCTGGAGGTCTTCTATGGCTTATAGAAGAGCTGGAGGTCTTCTATGGCTCATAGAAGAGCTGGAGGTCTTCTATGGCTCATAGAAGAGCTGGAGGTCTTCTATGGCTCATAGAAGAGCTGGAGGTCTTCTATGCCTCATAGAAGAGCTGTAGGTCTTCTATGGCTCATAGAAGAGCTATAGGTCTTCTATGGCTCATAGAAGAGCTATAGGTCTTCTGTGGCCCATAGAAAAGCTATAGGTCTTCTATGGCTCATAGAAGAGCTGGAGGTCTTCTATGGCTCATAGAAGAGCTGGAGGTCCTCTATGGCTCATAGAAGAGCCGGAGGTCTTCTATGGCTTATAGAAGAGCTGGAGGTCTTCTATGGCTCATAGAAGAGCTGGAGGTCTTCTATGGCTCATAGAAGAGCTGGAGGTCTTCTATGGCTCATAGAAGAGCTGGAGGTCTTCTATGGCTCATAGAAGAGCTGGAGGTCTTCTATGGCTCCATAGAAGAGCTGGAGGTCTTCTATGGCTCATAGAAGAGCTGGAGGTCTTCTATGGCTCATAGAAGAGCTGGAGGTCTTCTATGGCTCATAGAAGAGCTGGAGGTCTTCTATGGCTCATAGAAGAGCTGGAGGTCTTCTATGGCTCATAGAAGGCCAGGAGGTCTTCTATGGCTCATAGAAGGCCAGGAGGTCTTCTATGGCTCATAGAAGAGCTGGAGGTCTTCTATGGCTCATAGAAGAGCTGGAGGTCTTCTATGGCTCATAGAAGACCAGGAGGTCTTCTATGGCTCATAGAAGGCCAGGAGGTCTTCCATGGCTCATAGAAGAGCTGTAGCCATAGAAGAGGTGTTGGTCTTCTATGGGTCAGAGAAGAGCTCTGGGTCTTCTATGGTCAGAGAAGAGCTCTGGGTCTTCTATGGCTCATAGAAGAGGCTGGAGGTCTTCTATGGCTCATATAAGAGCTGGAGGTCTTCTATGGCTCATAGAAGAGCTGGAGGTCTTCTATGGCTCATAGAAGAGCTGGAGGTCTTCTATGGCTCATAGAAGAGCTGGAGGTCTTCTATGGCTCATAGAAGAGCTGGAGGTCTTCTATGGCTCATAGAAGAGCTGGAGGTCTTCTATGGCTCATAGAAGAGCTGGAGGTCTTCTATGGCTCATAGAAGAGCTGGAGGTCTTCTATGGCTCATAGAAGAGCTGGAGGTCTTCTATGGCTCATAGAAGAGCTGGAGGTCTTCTATGGCTCATAGAAGACCAGGAGGTCTTCTATGGCTCATAGAAGGCCAGGAGGTCTTCCATGGCTCATAGAAGGCCAGGAGGTCTTCCATGGCTCATAGAAGAGCTGTAGCCATAGAAGAGGTGTTGGTCTTCTATGGGTCAGAGAAGAGCTCTGGGTCTTCTATGGGTCAGAGAAGAGCTCTGGGTCTTCTATGGCTCATAGAAGAGCTGGAGGTCTTCTATGGCTCATAGAAGAGCTGGAGGTCTTCTATGGCTTATAGAAGAGCTGGAGGTCTTCTATGGCTCATAGAAGAGCTGGAGGTCTTCTATGGCTCATAGAAGAGCTCTGGGTCTTCTATGGCTCATAGAAGAGCTGTAGGTCTTCTATAGCTCATAGAAGAGCTGGAGGTCTTCTATGGCTCATAGAAGAGCTGTAGGTCTTCTATGGCTCATAGAAGGCCAGTAGGTCTTATATGGCTCATAAAAGGCCTGGAGGTCTTCTATGGCTTATAGAAGGCCAGGAGGTCTTCTATGGCTCATAGAAGGCCAGGAGGTCTTCTATGGCTCATAGGAGAGCTGTAGGTCTTCTATGGCTCATAGAAGAGCTGTAGGTCTTCTATGGCTCATAGAAGAGCTGGATGTCTTCTATGGCTCATAGAAGAGCTGGAGGTCTTCTATGGCTCATAGAAGAGCTGGAGGTCTTCTATGGCTCATAGAAGAGCTGGAGGTCTTCTATGGCTCATAGAAGAGCTGGAGGTCTTCTATGGCTCATAGAAGAGCTGGAGGTCTTCTATGGCTCATAGAAGAGCTGGAGGTCTTCTATGGCTCATAGAATAGCTGGAGGTCTTCTATGGCTCATAGAAGTGCTGGTGGGCTTCTATGGCTCATAGAAGAGCTGGTGGGCTTCTGTTGGCCAGAGAAGGCCAGGAGGTCCTGTATTTTTCATGTCTTCATTTTTTTCCAAAATTGAAACATTTGTTTTTGTTGTTTTTTCGAAATATTTTTTTTTTAATTTTCTAAATAATGAAGCAGCTAACATTTGTTCAAATAATACTGAAAACTTCGCACACACGCCTCAGAAACGTCTGCCGTAATTCTTGGCACCATGGTGGACCACTTGCTTCCTGACTGGTTCCTCCTCATAGCGGGGATGGGTGCGAATGTATTCTAAAGCCTTCAAGATGGCCTCTGGGATTGGTGGTGGTGTGGGCAAGATGTCACCACTTGGCTGATAGCCATTCTCATCGGCCACGTACTGGATGGCAACATGTTCACCTTCGGGAGAGATCCAGGAGAAATCGCCATTATGCTCACCATAGGCACTGCCAGCAGCAGCGGCATGAATGGCATTGGTGGTGTCATAGGCATATTGGAAACCATGTTCACTGACATCCGATTGGAAATGTTTTACCTCGGCATTGGCATCATCCGAGGTGGCGGCGGGGGCACTGCGATGGTGGCCCTTGTAGGAGGTTTGGTGGGCGAATTTGGTGGCTCCATGCCTGGGCAAAGCCACGGCTGCGGCAATCAGGGAGCAAAGAAGGACCTGGAGGAATTTTTGAAAATTGAATTAGTTTGGAATTTTTATTTCTTCCGAATTCTTTTTTCAAACTTACAATTTTGAACATTTTTTTTGTTTTTATCTGGAATTGGGTACTGATGTTGAATTGTTGTTCTATCGAAGACTGTTGATCTGTTTTTGGAAACCATGCGGTATTTATATGATTTGCGAATTATGATTTGAGTTATTAATCACTTGTGGCCAGCATATGTTGCCAGTCGATGATTTTGGATTTGATTGTTTGAATGTCCAACTATGGCATTTGTTTAAAGTTTTAATAAAAAAAAACTAATGCTTTAGTTTTCCATTGTTCCATTTTTTTATGATAGCAGGTTGACCATTCTTGGAGATAGTTAATCAATGGCTCAATGACAAGGTGAGGAATTGTGAATATTAATTTGAATTTTGTTTAGCAAAAATTACAGTGATAATAAAATAAGAGCTGCATATTTTTTTTTTTTTTGCGCAGCATTTGGGAAAAATTCACATTTACGCATTCACATGAGCCGTCACTCATCGTGGTATGTCGGGCTTGATCTTGGTACCGACTAAAAAACGCATCTACCGACCTCTGGGAGTTACTACCACCTCGGCACCACTTTCGTATTACTTCGAGGTGGCTCCCGGGCTTCTTAGGCCTTTTTCTTCCAAGCTCCGCAAATCATTTCGAGGTCTTAGGTCCCTATTTTTTATATGACCTCCACCATAGTATGGAGGGTATATTAAGTTTGCCATTCCGTTTGTAACACCTCAAAATATACATTTAAGACCCCACAAAGTATATCTGTATATTCGTGATCCGCATAAAATTCTATGGCGATTTAGCGATGTCCGTCCGTCTACCCGTCTGTCCGTCTGTGGAAATCACTCTAGCTTCCGAACGAAATGAAGAAGGTTGATAAAATTTTACTCAAATGTGTATTATGTTTGCAGGACTTTTGGTATTGGAAATGGGTCATGTAGGTCCACGTCTTCGTATAGCCCCCATATAACGATACCTCCTGATATTCGGTATTTTGATGATTTTAGCGACATTATGAACCGGCATGGTTTCAAATTTGGTATTTGAAGCTCGTAATGGGTACTACATCCTATGACAGAAAACTATCTGCGCAGGTCCACGTCTTCGTATAGCCCCCATACAGAGGTACCTTCCTATATTCGGTATTTTTATGATTTTAGCGACAGTATTAACCGGAATTGTTTTAAATTTGGTATTTGAAGTTCGTAATGGGTACTACAGCCTATGACAGAAAATTATCTATGCAGGTCCACGTCTTCGTATATCCACCATATAACGATACCTCCCGATATTCCATATTTTGCTGATTTTAGCGACATTATTCAACGGAATTGTTTCAAATTTGGTATTTGAAGTTCGAAATAAATAATACAGCCTATCACGGAAAATTGTCTGGGCAGCTCCAGGTATTCCTGTAGCCCTGATATAACGGTTCCTCCCTCTATTCGGTATTTTTATGATTTTAGCGACATTATTCATAGGAATCGTTTCAAATTTCGTATTTGAAGTTCGTAATGGATACTACAGCCTAATACAGAAAATTGTCTGTGCCGGTCTACGTCTTCGTATAGCCCCCATATAACGGTACCCCCCGATATTCAGTATTTTCATGATTTTAGCGACATTATTTAACGGAATTGTTTTAAATTTGGTATTTGAAGTTCGAAATGAATGCTACAGCCTTGGACAAAAAATTATCTGAGCAGGTCCACGTCTTCGTATAGTCCCCATATAACGGTACCGCTCGATATTTGGTATTTTGATGATTTTAGCGACATTATTCAACGGAATTGCTTCAAATTTGGTATATGATGTTCGTAATGGATGCTACAGCCTATGACAGAAAATTGTCTGTGCAGGTTTACGTCTTCGTATAGCCCCCATATAACAGTACCTCCCGATATTCGGTATTTTGATGATTTTAGCGACATTATTCAAGGGTATTGTTTCAAATTTGGTATTTGAAGTTCGTAATAGATACTACAGCCTCGCAGAAAATTGTCTGTGAAGGTCCATGTCTTCGTATAGCCCCCATATAACAGTACCTCCCGATATTCGGTATTTTGATAATTTTAGCGACATTATTTACCGGAATTGTTTCAAATTTGGTATTTGAAGTTCGTAATGGATACTACAGCTTATGACAGAAAATTGTCCGTGTAGGCCCGCGTCTTCGTATAGGCCCCATATAACGGTACCGCCCGATATTCGGTTTTTGGATGATTTTAGGGACATTATTCAACGGAATTGTTTCAAATTTGGTATTTGAAGTTCGTAATGGATGCTACAGACTAAGACAGAAAATTGTCTGTGCAGGTCCATGTCTTCGTATAATCACCATATAAAGGTACCTCCCGATATTCGGTATTTTGATGATTTTAGCGACATTATTCCGCGGAATTGTTTCAAATTTGGTATTTGAAGTTCGTAATGGGTACTACAGCCTAAGACAGAAAATTGTCTGTGCAGGTTTACGTCTTCGTATAGCCCCTATATAACGGTACCCCCCGATATTCGGTATTTTGATGATTTTAGCGACATTGTTCATCGGAATTGTTTCAAATTTGGTATTTGAAGTTCGAAATGGATACTACAGCCTCAGGCAGAAAATTGTCTGTGCAGGTCCACGTCTTCGTATAGCCCCCATATAACGGTACCTCCCTATATTCGGTATTTTGATGATTTTAGCGACAATATTTACCGGAATTGTCTCAAATTTGATATTTGAAGTTCGTAATGGATGCTACAGCCTAAGACAGAAAATGGGCCATGTAGGTCCACATCTTCGTATAGCCCCCATATAACGGTACCTCCCGATATTCGGTATTTTGATGATTTTAGCGACATTATTCCGCGGAATTGTTTCAAATTTAGTATCTGAAGTTCGTAATGGATACCACAGCCTAAGATAGAAAATGAGCCACGTAGGCTCATCGTATAGCCCCCATATAACGGTACCTCCGGATATTCGGTATTTTGATAATTTTAGCGACATTATTTACCGGAATTGTTTCAGATTTGGTATCTGAAATTCGTAATGGGTACTACAGCCTGTGCCAGAAAATTGTCTCTGCAAGTTTATGACAAAAGTTGCCTATGCAGGTCCACTTCGTCGTTTAGACCCTACTATGTCGGCTACATTTGGTATTTTTAAGATTTCAAGAGAATTTTTAACCGATTTTATTTTTTTTTTGAAAATTGCCAAATTCGTTCCAAATGGTGGAGGGTATTCAAAGTTCGGCCCAGCCGAACTTTCAGCTTTTTTACTTCTTTATTTTTAATAAATGTTCGAAGAATTTAGAAATTGCATTCCAGTTTTGTTCGACTTCTATCATTTTCGCAACTATGTTCGTCACTGGTCATTGCACCTGCTGGCAGTTCTACTTCTGAGCGTAGGTTTGTCCATCGACCGCATGAGAAGAATGTATGTTCTGCCTCGTCTAAAATTTGTTCGATTTCATACAAACAATATGCGGAATCTCTCTTTCCGTACTTTAACAGATATTTACGAAAATATCCATGTCCGGAGAGCATCTGTGTTATGTAATAGTTTAAATTGCCGTGCTTCCGTTTTGTCCATGCTTCTATATCTGGTACATCTTCCATTTGTCACTCGCTGCCATCATGTCTGCCATTTTTCAAAAGTCTCCTCATTTATTTGAGCAAGTTCTGAGACTTCATGTTGGCAACACTACCTTAAATATTTACTGCCTCTCTTCTGCTACCAAAGGTACCCGCTATAACTTGTATCGCTAGTCTTGAGACTGTGCGGCATGCAGATGCCACTCTCACTGCCGCTGTTATTTGTACTTTCAGCAGTTGCTACGCCCTCTGCTTATTGAGCATGCTCCAGGCCCAGATTTTATATCCGTACAGTAGGATGCTGTTATTAGCGACCTCCTCTTGCAGGGTTGGGGGCCCTAAAACGTTTGCCATCAATCTGCATAGCTGCATCGTCTTAGTGGTAGCCTTCTCGGCTGCATTGGCCACCTTTGGCACGAATTATGGCCTTCAAGCGATCAATGAAACCGTCACAACGCTGCCCGGATGTAGCTCTGCGGTATTTTAGCGAAGCGCTTGCTTGAGGTGATCGACACTTTAGTATTTTTTTTTTTTTTGAGCCAAGCTTGCTTTCCAAAATACTCCAGACACAATAGTCCAACGGATTGGTATCTGGAGATTTTGTTGGCCATTTTACGCTGGAAATGAAGCGAGGAACCTTATTTTGTAACAATTCTTGGGTGGGTGGGGGTCTGAATGCGATGGTGCTGAGTCCTGTTGGAATGTCCAAGGTCTGCGGCCAAAATCTTGGCGTGCCCAAGGCTTTAATACACCCTCCATCCTCTTCATGCCTTGGAGATGATTTTATCAATTCCATCAATTATCGACCATAATCTGATGCAGCGAGAAACATAACACCGTCCCGCTGCCATAACACATCACACACACGCATCAGATATCCATCAACATGAGCAGAGCCAATGATGCTTGATGTTATCGCTGTTGTATTTACTAGCAAGCGTGTGATAAGCTTCATAAATATTTTGCCTATTAACAATAGCATCAAACCTAGTTCAGTGGTTTTAGTAGCATCCGCCCAAATAAAAAAGAAAAATAAAAACAACAACAAAAAATCTGCATGTTGCCAACTTAGCTGATGGCAATGAATTCGAAACGGCTTTTGGCAACCCGGTTAAGTAGCTTCTAGTCGTCGACAAGAGCATAAAAGCATTTCTATGCTAAAACTGCACATTGAAGGCATATAAAAACTCTGCCGGTTATTCGGAACAGCATCAGTTCAAAACTGTGAAGCCTTGCGGATTAAAGATCAAAAATGTTCAAATTCGTAAGTTTTAGAAAATTCAAAAAAAAAATAAAAAAAAATTAAATAAATAAAAAATAAACAAATAAATTAAAAAAATAAACAAATCAAAATCTAATAAAATCCTTTTCCCCCCAGGTTGTACTCTGCGCCCTGATTGCCACTGCCGCTGCAGTCTCGAAGCATGGTGGCAACACCAAATTTCATGGTGCCAGCAGCTCCAACTCCAAACATTACTCCGCTCCCGGTGGTCGCACCAGTGATGATGCCAATGCCGAAGTAACCCGTTTCACAGCCGATGTCCATGAACATGGTTTCCAATATGCCTTCGACACCACCAATGCCATTCATGCTGCCGCCACAGGTGGTGCCGATGGTGATCACCAGGGTGACTTTGCCTGGATCTCTCCCGAGGGTGAGCACGTTGCGGTGCAATACGTGGCCGATGAGAATGGTTATCAACCCGACAGTGCTTTGTTGCCCACTCCCCCACCAATTCCAGATGCCATCTTGAAGGCTTTGGAATACATTCGCACCCATCCTCAGCAAGACGAAAAACCCGCTTTCAAAGCAGCTCCTGCCAGGAGGGGTTAGGCGATAGATGGGGAAATTTAGTTTTAAGGAAAAAAAATATTTAATAAAGGCCAAATGATTTGTTGATTTAATAATTTACATTGTTTTGAATTTGAAAAGGGAAAGAGCTTTTAGGCCTTCCATATATAGAGAAGCTTTTATAAGCTTTTCATTGATATCATGCTTTTTTTAAGGTCTTCCTTTCAACACAGAGATGCTTCAATTCAAAGAAACAAAGAAAAGCTTTTAAGAGAAATTTTAAAGCTTTTAAATCTCTACAATCCACAAAAGAGCTTTTTGGGAACATTTTCGGGATAGAAGAGCTTTTGAGGATCTTCTATAAACAGAAAAGCTTTTAGGAGGCTGCCATGCAAGAAAGCTTCTAAAATTCATTTATAAAGGCTTCTGAGAAGGCTTTTTTGAGGATGGACAGTCACATGGTGTTCTTACATTTTACGTTTTAAGGGCTTTCTAAGCATACAAAAGCCTTGTACGGATAATGTAGCTTTCAAAATGCTTCTTTTGATAAAAAGCTTTTTAAATTTCAGAAGAGCTTCTAAAAGAAATTCTAAAGCTTTTAAATGTCTGCTATCTATAGAAGAGCTTTTTGGAAACATTTATGGATATAAGAGCTTTTGAGTGTCTTCTATAAACAGAGGAACTTTTGGAAGAATTCTACAGTTTTCAAATCTATACTCTCTATAAAAGAGCTTTTGAAGATCATTTATGTAAAGAAAAGCTATTGAGGGTATTCTATAAACATAAGAGCTTTTAGAGACCTTCCAGTCAAGAAAGCTTCTAAAATTCTTTTATACAGAGACCAGATTTTAAATGCTTCTTAGTTGAATAATAGACGTTTTATAAGACTTCTAAGCTCAAAAAAGCTTTCAAAAATCTTGTGCGTATAGAAGAGCTTTCAAATTGCTTCTACGGATAGAAGAGCTTTCAAATTGTTTTTTTGGAATAGAAGAGCTTTTTAAATGTTTATATTTTTAAAAAGAGGTTTTATATGTTTTTCATACATGGAAGAGCTTTTGAAGACCTTCTAAATACAAAAAGAGCTTTTATGGTCTTACGAAGATAAAAGAGTTTTTAAAGGTCATCAATTGATAAAAGAATGTCTTCAATTAATAGAAGACCTTTTTGAGACCTACTGTGAACCGAAGAGCTTTTAAAGACCTTCTCAGGACAGAAAAGCGTTTAAAATGCAGCTGTGAAAGGCATTCAAAAGTCAATCGTACAATGAAATATATTTTACAGAACTTCTATATTTAAATGACCCTCGAAAGCTCTTTTATATTTAGAGGCCCAAAAAATTAGCTTTTGTCTTCGGAAGACCATAAAAGCTTTTTTATATTTAGCAGACCTTTAAAAGCTCTTCCATGTATGAAGAAAGCATATGGAGCCTCATTTGATTTATAATAATTTAAAAGCTTTTATATGCGTAACGTAACAAAAGCTCTTCTATCAGCACAAGACTTTGAAAGTTTTTGTGAGATTAAACCGAGAACATCATCTGATTTTCTATTCTCAAAAAGCCTTTAAATACAGGTCTCTCTATAAAAGAATTTTAGAAGCTTTCTTTCTCTTCCAAAAGCTCTTCCATCTATATAAAGAAGAGCTTTTAATATATATCTGTGGAAGGAATTCAAAAGACAATTTTACGATGAAACACTTTTGAAAACTTTTTTATGACCTTCAAAAGCTTTTTTATTTATCGAATATCTTTTTTCTTCGAAAGTTCTTCCATTTACAAAAAAAAAAAAAAAAACTTTCAAAAGCTCTTTTTGGTATAAAGAACATTGTAGAAGCTTTTCTATTTGTACAAGACTTTTGGAAGCTTATCTGTGTTAAGAAGACCTTTATTTGCGAAAGAACTTCATATGCTCTTCTATCATGGAACTCCTTTAAAAGCTCTTCTCTGTATAAAAGACCTTTAGAAGCTTTCTATATAGGAAACCTCTAAATAACTTGTGTGTTAAGGAGACCCATACTAGAACTTTTATTGATTGTAGACCTTTAAAAGCTCCTATATGGATGGAAGACTTTAAAAAGCTCCAGCACATTATGCCTCTAAAAGCTCTTCTCTCCCTCTCTCTCTCTCTCTCTCTCTCTCTCTTTTGGCCTGAAGAAGCTTCTTAACAAAGGAAGAACCTTAAAATCGAATTTATATCCAGAAAGCTTTTGAAAGCTTTTCTCTCTATAGAAGACCTAAAAGCTCTATCATTTTACTAATTTTGAAAAAATGTGTTATTAAATCAACAAATTATTGGGCTTTATTAAATATTTTTTTCCTTACAACTAAATCTCCCCCTCTATCGCCTAACCTCTCCTGGCAGGAGCTGCTTTGAATGCGGGTTTTTCCTCCTGCTGAGGATGGGTGCGAATGTATTCCAAAGCCTTCAAGATGGCATCTGGAATTGGTGGGGGAGTAGGCAACAAGGCGCTGTCGGGTTGATAACCATTCTCATCGGCCACGTATTGCACTGCGACGTGTTCACCCTCAGGAGAGATCCATGCAAAGTCTCCCTGGTGATCACCATCGGCACCACCTGTGGCGGCAGCATGAATGGCATTGGTGGTGTCGAAGGCATATTGGAAACCATGTTCATGGACATCGGCTGTGAAACGGGTTACTTCGGCATTGGCATCATCACTGGTACGACCACCGGGGGCGGAGTAATGTTTGGAGTTGGAGCTGCTGGCACCATGGAATTTGGTGTTGCCACCATGTTTCGAGACTGCAGCGGCACTGGCAATCAGGGCACAGAGTACAACCTGGGGAGGGGGATAGAATTTTATTAGATTTTGATTTATTTATTATTTTTTTTTTTAAATTTTTTAATTTTTTTTTTTTTTTTTGAATTTTCTAAATCTTACAAATTTGAACATTTTGATCTTTAATCCGTCAGGTTTCACAGTTTTGAACTGATGCTGTTCCGAATTACCGGCAGAGTTTTTATATGCCTTCAATGTGCAGTTTTAGCATAGAAATGCTTTTATGCTCTTGCCGACGACTAGAAGCTACTTAACCGGGTTGCCAAAAGCCGCTTCGAATTCATTGCCATCAGCTGCTAAGTTGGCAACATGCAGATTTTTTGTTGTTGTTCTTATTTTTCTTTTTTATTTGGGCGGATGCTACTAAAACCACTGAACTAGGTTTGATGCTATTGTTAATAGGCAAAATATTTATGAAGCTTGTCAAACGCTTGCTGGTGAATACAACAACGATAATATTAAGCATTATTGGCTCTGCTCATGTTGATGGATATCTGATGCGTGTGTGTGATGTGCTATGGCAGCGGGACGGTGTTATGTTTCTCGCTGCATTAGATTTTGGGCGATAATTGATGGTTAATATCAGCTGCTATGCCATTAAGCAAAGACAACATAGAAGTTCGGCTTTACCTTTAAAATGTATTTTTGATATTTTTTTGAATTCCTGGCGTTTAGCGAAGACTTAGACTTTTGATGTTCTCTGGGACCTATAGCACAATTTTATGATAAACAATTTTGTGGAATATTTTGATTTGCTTAGATCCCGTTTAAAGGGAGTATTTTACCGTATTTTCAGGAAAGGACCAAAAAGATCCCTTTTTTTGACTCGCTTGAGGGTTAAAAGGTTCGACGAAAATAATCCTGATATTATTAGCTGTAATATGGCCGAAGACACTGTATACCTAAAATCAATGGATTCCGAGGAATCTTAATCTCTTGCAGGTGTTCGTGGATATTTTAAAAATATTTTTTCCAGGACCAAAACTAATAGTGGATTTTTAAAAAATATTTTTTCCAGGACCAAAACTAATAGTGGATGTTTTAAAAATATTTTTTGCAAGACCAAAACTAAACGAGGATTTTTTAAAAATATTTTTTCCAGGACCTATACTAAACTTGTATTTTTTAAAAATATTTTTTTCAGCAGCAAAACTAAACGTGGATTTTTTAAAAATATTTTTTTCAGCACCAAAACTAAACGTGGATTTTTTAAAAATATTTTTTCAAGCATCAAAACTAAACGTGGATTTTTTGAAAAATATTTTTTCCAGGACCAAAGCTAATCGTGGATTTTTTTGAAAAATATTTTTTCCAGGACCAAAGCTAAACGTGAATTTTTTAAAAATATTTTTTCCAGGGCCAAAGCTAAACGTGGATTTTTTAAAAATATTTTTTCCAGGACCAGAACTAAACGTGGATTTTTTAAAAAATATTTTTTGAGGATCAATTTTAGATCTGGATTTTTTAAAAATATTTTTCCAGAACCAAAGCTTAACGTAGATTTTTTAAAAATATTTTTTTCCAGGACCAAAAATAAGCGGGGATTTTTTAAAAATATTTTTTTCTAGGACCAAAACTAAACGTGGATTTTTTAAAAATATTTTTTTTCAGGACCAAAACTAAACGTGGATTTTTTAAAAATATTTTTTCCAGGACCAAAACTAAACGTGGATTTTTTAAAAATATTTTTTCAAGCATCAAAACTAAACGTGGATTTTTTAAAAATATTTTTTCAAGCATCAAAACTAAACGTGGATTTTTTAAAAATATTTTCCAAGCATCAAAACTAAACGTGGATTTTTTAAAAATATTTTTTCAAGCATCCAAACTAAACGTGGATTTTTTAAAAATATTTTTTCAAGCATCAAAACTAAACGTGGATTTTTTAAAAATATTTTTTCAAGCATCAAAACTAAACGTGGATTTTTTAAAAATATTTTTCAAGCATCAAAACTAAACGTGGATTTTTTAAAAATATTTTTTCAAGCACCAAAACTAAACGTGGATTTTTTAAAAATATTTTTTCAAGCATCAAAACTAAACGTGGATTTTTTAAAAATATTTTTTCAAGCATCAAAACTAAACGTGGATTTTTTAAAAATATTTTTTCAAGCATCAAAACTAAACGTGGATTTTTTAAAAATATTTTTTCAAGCATCAAAACTAAACGTGGATTTTTTAAAAATATTTTTTCAAGCATCAAAACTAAACGCGGATTTTTTAAAAATATTTTTTCAAGCATCAAAACTAAACGCGGATTTTTTAAAAATATTTTTTCAAGCATCAAAACTAAACGTGGATTTTTTAAAAAATATTTTTCCAGGACCAAAACTAAAGTGTATTTAAAAAAAAAAATTCCAGGACCAAAATTAAACGTGGATTTTTTAAAAATATTTTTTTCCAGGACCAAAACTAAACGTGGATTTTTTAAAAATATTTTTTTCCAGGACCAAAACTAAACGTGGATTTTTTTAGAAATATTTTTTCAGGACCAAACCTAATCGTGAATTTTTTAAAAAATATTTTTCCAGGACCAAAACTAAACGTGGATTCTTAAAAATATTTTTTTAAGCACCAAAACTAATCGTGAATTTTTTAAAAAATATTTTTCCAGGACCAAAACTAAACGTGGATCTTAAAAATATTTTTTTAAGCACCAAAACTAAACGTGGTTTTTTAAAAAATATTTTTTGTAGGACCAAAACTAAACGTGGATTTTTTAAAAATATTTTTTGTAGGACCAAAACTAAACGTGGATTTTTTTAAAAATATTTTTTCCAGGACCAAAACTAAACGTGGATTCTTAAAAATATTTTTGTAAGCACCAAAACTAAACGTGGTTTTTTAAAAAAATATTTTTTCCAGGACCAAAACTAAACGTGGATTCTTAAAAATATTTTTTTAAGCACCAAAACTAAACGTGGTTTTTTAAAAAAATATTTTTTTCAGGACCAAACGTGGATTTTTAAAAATATTTCTCCAGGACTTAAACTAAACGTGGATTTTTTAAAATTATGTTTTCAGGACCAAAACTAAACGTGGATTTTTTTAAAATATTTTTTTCAGGACCAAAACTAAACGTGGATTTTTTTAAAAATATGTTTTCCCGGACCAAAACTAAACGTAAATTTTTTAAAAATAATTTTTTTCAGGACCAAAACTAAACGTAAATTTTTTAAAAATAATTTTTTTCAGGACCAAAACTAAACGTGGTTTTTTAAAAAAATATTTTTTTCAAGGCCAAACGTGGATTTTTTAAAAATATTTCTCCAGGACCAAAACTAAACGTGGATTTTTTAAAATTATGTTTTCAGGACCAAAACTAAACGTGGATTTTTTAAAAATATTTTTTTTCAGGACCAAAACTAAACGTGGAGTTTTAAAAAATATTTTTTCAAGCACTAAAAATTTTTTAAAAATATAAAATATTTTTTTTCATGTCCAAAGCTAAACGTAGATTTTTAAAAAATTTTTTTTTGAGGATCAATTTTAGACCTAGATTTTAAAAATTAAACTTGGATTTTTTAAAAATATTTTTTCCAGGACTAAATATAAACGTGGATTTTTTTATACATTTTTTTAAGCGCCAAGACTAAAAGTGGATTTTTTAAAAATATTTTTTCCAGGACCGAAACTAAACGTGGATTTTTTAAAAATACTTTTTCCAGGACAAAAACTAAACGTGGATTTTTTAAAAATATTTTTCAAGGTCTAAAAATAAACGAGGATTTTTTAAAAATATTTTTTCAGGTACAAAACTAAACGTGGATTTTTTAAAAATATTTTTTTCAGGTACAAAACTAAACGTGGATTTTTTAAAAATATTTTTTTAGGACCAAAACTAAACGTGGATTTTTTAAAAATATTTTTTTAGGACCAAAACTAAACGTTGATTTTAACATGGATTTTTTAAAAATATTTTTTTCAGGACCAAAACTAAACGTGGATTTTTTAAAAAATATTTTTTTGCAGAGAGAAGGGGTCTCATTTCAACCGAGAGATATCTTTTTACAGCCACTTTGTAGGAAAATAGAGAAAAAAACCTCTTATACGTCTTCTATGGAAGAAGATATCTTAAAATTTAGCAATAAAAAGAAGTCCTTTGAAGGACCTCCTTGAGATCCCCTCCGAGTAAATTTTCTGCTCGAACCAAAAAATAAAACTCACATTTTCTTTTTCTCTTTTATATTCCATACTACCACTTTATTTGCAGATTAAGCTATCCTTTTAGTACTCCCTGAAAGGACTCTTAACCCATGACATTCCCCTTTATTTAGAAATGTCTACCAAATTGTTTGTTGCTATTTCCCCTGCTGTTGCTATTGCTGCGGCTAAAGGTATTGCTGCGATACGAAGCAGCGGCACTGTGTTCATGATCCACTTCCTTGGGAGGATGGGTACGAATGTATTCCAAAGCCTTTAAGATGGCCTCTGGAATGGGTGGTGGTGTTGGCAGCAAGGCACTGTTGGGTTGATAACCATTCTCATCGGCCACATATTGCACGGCAATGTGTTCACCTTCGGGCGATACCCAGGAGAAGTCACCTTTGTGATCGCCGTTTTCATCTCCGGAAGCGGCAGCATGGATATCATTGGTGGTATCATAGGCATATTGGAAACCATGTTCATTGACATCGGCAGCAAAGTTTGTTGTCTCGGCATGGACATCATCACCGCTGGCATGGTGGCCACCACTACTGGCCTGGGCATGAGAGCCATAGGCAGCTTTGTAGGTATTTTTGCCGCCATATTTGGGTAGGGCCACAGCCGTGGCTACCAGGGCACAAAGGACAATCTGGGGAGAGAGAGGGGGAATTTTTTCAGGTAATCCAAGGTTTGTGGGTAAATCCTGAGCTTCTTCTACGAAATACTTACAAATTTGAACATATTTTGGCTGGAAATACTGTTGGGATTTAGCTTCGAATTCGAAAACTGATGATGCTGCCAAGAATTCACCAAGTTTTTATATGATTTTGTTTGGCAACGGAAGACGAGATATAAGTTTGACTATTTTATGGTATCATCTCCCATCCATACATCCGTCCATCCATTCATCCATCCGACCATTCAAGCATGCATTTCGTCATGTTGTGATCGCCAAATTTAGATAATAA